GTAGTAGTAGTAGTAGTAGTAGTAGTAGTAGTAGTAGTAGTAGTAGTAGTAGTAGTAGTACTAGGACTAGTAGTAGTAGTAGTACTCGTAGTAGTGACAGTAGTAGCAGTAGTAGTAGTAGTAGTAGTAGTAGTAGTAGTAGCAGTAGTAGTCGTAGTGGTAGTAGTATTAGTGGTATTTCCAGTATCAACGGAAGTAGCAAACGTAGTCGTCAACGTCGTCGTCGCACGAGTTGCCTGAGTAACAGAGGCAGTCACTCAAGCAGTGGTCTATATGGAAATTGTGGTAGTAGTAATAAGTAGTGATAGTGGTAGTAGTAGTAGTAGTACTAGTACGAGTAGCAGTAGTAGTAGTAGTCGTAGTAGTAGTAGTAGTAGTAGTAGTAGTGGTAGTAGTAGTAGTAGTAGTAGTAGTAGTAGTAGTAGTAGTACTAGTAGTAGTAGGAGGAGTAGCAGTAGTAGTCGTAGTGGTAGTAGTATTAGTGGTATTTCCAGTATCAACGGTAGTAGCAAACGTAGTCGTCAACGTCGTCGTCGCACGAGTTGCCTGAGTAACAGAGGCAGTCACTCAGAGCAGTGGTCTATATGGAAATTGTGGTAGTAGTAATAAGTAGTGATAGTGGTAGTAGTAGTAGTAGTACTAGTACGAGTAGCAGTAGTAGTAGTAGTAGTAGTAGTAGTAGTAGTAGTAGTAGTAGTAGTAGTAGTAGTAGTAGTAGTAGTAGTAGTAGTAGTAGTAGTAGTAGTAGTAGTAGTAGTAGTAGTAGTAGTAGTAGTAGTAGTAGTAGTAGTAGTAGTAGTAGTAGTAGTAGTAGTAGTAGTAGTAGTAGTAGTAGTAGTAGTAGTAGTAGTAGTGGTAGTAGTAGTAGTAGTAGTAGTGGTAGTAGTTCTAGTAGTAGTAGGACTCATAGTAGCGCGAGTAGATATGGTAGTAGTCGTAAGAGTAGTTGTAGTTGTAGTAGTACGAGATGATGTAGCCACACGAGTATGAGTAATACTAGTAGCAAAAGTAGTACTAATCGTAGGAGAAGAAGTAGTAATATATGTCTTTTCGAAGCCGCTCGGAGGCCTCTTGGGGCGTCTTCGGCGCCTCTTGGGGCCTCTTGGGCACCTCTTGGGGGTATCTTGGGGGCCTGATGGAGGCCTCGTGGTGCCTCCTGGAGACCTCCTGTGGGCCATCTGGGGACCTCTTGGGGCCATCTCGTGGACCTCTGGGGGCCCTCTTGGGGAGCTTGTATGAGCGCTGCCCCTCCTCCTGGTGTGACTCGTTCGGGCTCCTCGTGGTGTGAGTCGTTCGAGGCCCGCGTCGTGGTGTGAGTCGTTCGGGCTCCTCGTGGTGTGAGTCGGTCGGGCGCTTCGTCCTGGTATGAGTCGTTCGGGCCCCTCCTTGTGGTGTGAGTCGTTCGGGCTCTTCGTGGTGTGAGTCGTTCGGGCCCCTCGTCCTGGTGTGAGTCGTTCGGGCTCCTCCTTGGGCCTCTTGGGAGCCTCTTGGAGGCCTCTTGGGGCCTCTTGGGGGCCTCTTGGGGGCCTCTTGGGGGCCTCTTGGGAGCCTCTAGGGGGCTCTGGGGGCCTCGTGGGGGCCTCTTGGGGGCCTGTTGGGAGCCTTTGGGGGCCTCTTGGGGGCCTCTTGGTGGCCTCTTGGAGGCCTCTTGGGGGCCTCCTGGGGGCATCTTGGGGCCTCTTGGGGGCCTCGTGCGACCTCCTCAGAAGCGCAAGTGAGCGCTACCCCCTGAGAAGGACAAAATGATGCCGAAACCCTCGTAAAATCAATGATTTTGCTATGAAGGAAGATGAGCGCGGCCCCCTCGGGAGGCCAAAATGGGGCCAAAACCATCGTAAAAGCAAGGATTTTGGCTTCACAGAAGAGGAGGGGGCTACAAGAGCGCCCCCCCCCGTCGGGGCCAGAATCCTCGTGAGGGTAGTCGTTTTTTGGCCCTCCCAGGCGTCGAACAAGAACCCCCTGACCACCCGCGGGACTCCCTGTCCAGGCCCAGGGGGAGGGGGTAGGGGGAGGGGTAAACCCCTCCCCGAAGGGGAAGAAGGGGGGTTGGGGGGTTGAGGACAGAGGGGGCTCTCTAAACCACTCACGCCCAAAGGGCTGGTGGGATTTTGGATGGGCTTCGCGAAACTCTTGTACGGTGGATGTAGCAGCCGAATTTCCAGGCAACAGAAGAAAAGTACCAGTCTGAAGCAGTGCCAGTTTTCCATACATGCCTATTGCCTGTCAACTCGTGCCAGGGCCCATTCGGTCCCATATTATTTTGCCCCTCGTGTGTGCACTGTGGTGTGGCCGTTTTTGCCCAACAGTCTTGAGGGGCCCCTCTTGCCAGCCAGCACAGTGCCGACATCATATCAGACAGCTCAGCATAGTTGAGCATCCACACCCACAGCATAGCATTTCATACATCAGTCAGCGACTGTGTGCCTTGCTCTCGACAAGATACCGAGAGGATAGTTTTTACTGGATTTTGCTCCCGCTGGGAGCCGCCTTTCGCCGAGAGTCCGTGGCCCACGCTCCGCCGCTGGAAAGAAGTATTCTCACACTAATAATAATAAGGAGGAGGATAAGGAGGAGGAGGAGGAGGAGGAGGAGGAGGAGGAGGAGGACGAGGAGGAGGAGGAGGAAGAAGAGGAGGATGAGGCGGAGGAGGAGGAGGAGGAGAGGTCTTGCTCGTCCTGGTTCCTCTGGGAGCGTCTTTGATGCCTCTGAGGCGCCTCTTGGAGTCTGTTTGGTCTCTCGTGGGGGCCTCTTGGGGGCCTCCCTGTTGATGCTGGGCGCCTCGCTGATGATGCTGGGCGCCCTTTTTGGGCTCTCTTGGGACCATCTCGGAGGAGATCGATCACAAAAGGGGATCATACATTCTCCTCCCCCCCTCGCAGTCTCCATGAGGCCCTCTTGGGGCCCTCACAGGCCGCTCTTGGGCGTCTCTTAAGCGCTCTTGAGGCCGACTTGGGGCTGTCTTGGGCCATCTTGGGGCCATCTTGAGGGCCAAGGCGCCCATCGGGAGCGAAAAGGCGATAAAACACAAATCTATGATTTCTCAAGGTTTTTTGAACGATTTTGGCCTCTTGGGGAGTGCCTTTGGAGGCTCGAAGGGCACTCTGAACCCTCTTGGGGCTGTCTTGGGCCGTCTTGCAGGCATGTCGGAGGCTACTTTGAGCGATCTGGAGCTATCTTGAACGCCATCTTGGGCTGCCGAGGGCCCTCTTGGAGCCATCTTGGGCCATCTTGAGCGGTCTGCCGACTCGCCCCCCCCCATTCCAGGCCCAGGGGAGGGGGTAGGGGGAGGGGTCTAGCTCACTCCCATCCGCCTTCCCTACACACAAGTAACACCCGAGCCTGAGCATGTTCAGCGGTCGTCTTTGGATGGGCAGCTACTGGGAACCAAAGCCGACCCCAGGTGTGCGACGCTTGGGCGAGGTGCGCCACGCCTGGGGCCCGAGCGTGCCAGGCACGCCTGGTGCGCCAGATGCGCCACGTGCTCCGCGTGCGCCAGGAGCGCCGCATGCTCCAGCCGCCCCAGGTGCGCCGCGTTCGGGGCACGTGCAGAGTGCGTCAGGTGTGCCTGCGCTCGTGACAGCACACATCGGGAAACATGTCGGTCCCCACCATCCTTGTCGAAAAGCAATGCCTATCATTGTCTCTGGTGGGCCTGCGCAGCAGGCCATACGCCACCAACTCCGCCGTCCCTGTCAAAAACCACTTGACAGTGATCGCGGGGTGGCAGAGCATGATGCAGACTTAGCCGCGAGTTGCATTCTGTTTTCTTTTTGTTGTCAGGGATGGTAGCCCTGCGCACAGTAGGGAATATGCTGACCCCCCCGCCAACCTTGTCAAAAACAATACAAAGTGCTCGCGGGCCTCACGAACATTACTCAAGACTGCGGCTCAAAGTGCGCTTTGTATTGTTTTTTGACAGGGGTGGTGGGGGGGGCGCATTGGATTGGCCGCGCATGCTCCAAATGTGGAGACAAAGTGCATTTTTTTTTACAGGGGGGGGCCCGCATGGTTCCTGGTTGGCTGCCGGTCCCCTGGGGAGGCGCTCCAGCGCCACCGCCGGGTTCTCGCAGCGCCGTCCCCCGGGACGACTGACCGACGCCTCGCCTCGCCTCGCGCCCCCCGGCGGCGAGGCGCTGGTTGGACCAGGCGCTCTGTCAGAGCCTCGGCCAGCGCTCGTCCTCTTCCCTCGCGGCCCTCGTGTTTTTATCGTGGTGTGCTTCTAGTGGTGCCTTCGTCGTGGTGTCGCTCTTGAAGCGCCTGGTCTTCTTCTCCTCTTCGATGCTTCGGCCTCGTCCGGGCCTTGTTTTTCCAGGGTAGCTCGTGCCCAACTTAGAAAGTGGTCTGGCTCGCGTGGTTCCGTTGCAAGCGGTGGGCTTCTCCCCCCGAGGCCTCTCTGCAAGGGGGGGGAGCCTTCTCGCGCTCCACAATCTTTCAGATTGTGACTCGAGCCTGAGATTTGAGGGGTGGTGGTGGGGCACTCGACTAGCCATCGGCACATTTCCGACCAGGGCCGCGGCCCTCCAGGCAGCCTCGTCTGGGGCCCCGACCCCTTGGCAGAGCGGCCACCCAACAGAGCGGGGACCGTGGCTCTGGCCAGATATCTGCTGATGAGCTCTCTTTTGCAGAAGGCGTCTATACGTGATCACCTCACTGGCCAGGGCCATCCTGGGCGTCAGGATGGTACATGGACATAGACTCTCCTGTCCTCGTGCAGGAGGGCGTATGCACTGTGCCACTGCCCAGGATGACCCCGGCCAGGCATGGTGGTGGTGGTGGTGGTGTGTATGTCGGATCCGCGTAAGAGTGGCCTTTTGCGAAAGTGACTTTTAGGGCGGTCTCACAAGAGTTTCTCCTGCGCTGGCTTGCACGCGTAGATTCGGCCCACCCGCGGCACCCTTAAACCGCACACCAAAGGTCACTCTTGCGTGTAGCCGATGTACGTGCCCTCTGCGTGTGTCTGAGAGGATCAGGCCCAGGCTCCTTCGCCGCTTGTTGGCGAGGCCGCCCACCCTGGGGGCAGGGCGCGCGCGCCGGGGAAGCGCCATGACGGCGCATGCTGTGCGGCGGCGCGGGCTCGGTTTCCACCGGCGCGCTGGCTGGGCCTTGCTGACCACGTGGAGGGGCCTCAACTTCAGTCCGCAGTAGGCATCCATGCACTGCCACCACCATGCCTGGCCAGGGCCACACTGGGCCTTGAGAATGGTGCACAGGGCCTCTTTGCTGGCATGGCGGTGGTGTACGCGTGCCTTCTGCGCATCGGGGACCCAGATCTCGGCCATCAGATGGCCTCGTCTGTTGATCTCTCGCTCTTGCCGGAGGCAGCCATGAGGTCGGCGGAAGCCAGCGGAAGTAAAGCGAGGGAGCTCTTCGGCGGAAGCGGGCGGAAGCTCGGCGGAAGGCGGCGGAGGGAAGATCTGCCCCAAGAGATCTCAACACCGGCGTGCCAGGGAGGTCTGGAGCTGGCCGTCTGGAGAGCAGAAGACGTGCACATGCCCCGCACGCCCCCCGCGCTTGGTGTTCGATCATGGCCCCTTCGTCAGGCGCAGCCGCCCAGCTGTCAGGCAGAAGGCCGCGAGAGGCCGCCGACACGACCGCTGGAGGCCGCGGGCTGCCGCCGAAGTCAGCCGAAGACCGTGCGGGGCCGACGGGACAAACATGGTCGAACACGCAACCTGCACCTGCCTCCCTCCCCCCGCTCTTTCCTCCCCCCTTCTCCCCGCGTGCGCGGTAGCGCGCGTGCTGGGGTGGGGTGGGAGATGGAGGATCGGCGGCGACGATAACGGCGAATAGCCCAGGGGCGGGCATTACACGTATTCGCCCAGGAGCCTTGTCGAAAACATAGATCATCGGCTCCCATGGATACATGTATTGCTCTCCCCTGGGCTATTCGCCCCTATCGTCGCCTCTGAGCGGAGGAGGAGGGAGGAGGAGGAGGAGGAGGAGGAGGAGGAGGAGGAGAGGAGGAGGAGGAGGAGGAGGAGGAGGAGGAGGGAGGAGGAGGAGGAGGAGAGGAGGAGAGGAGGAGGAGGAGAGGAGGAGGAGGAGCAGGAGAGGAGGGAGGAGGAGGAGGAGGAGAGGAGGAGGAGGAGAGGAGGAGGAGGAGGATGGAGGAGGAGGAGGAGGAGGAGGGGGGAGGGAGGGAGGAGGAGGAGGAGGAGGGAGGGAGGGGAGGAGGAGGATGAGGAGAGAGGGGAGGGAAGGGAGGAGGGAAGACGGGGGAGGGAGGGAGGGAGGGAGGCGCCCGAGCGGAACGAGAAGGGCTCGCAGCGTGGCCGAGGGCAAACCCGACCGCTACCCCCCCCGGGAGGGCTTCGACCGAGTCCCGATGGTCTTCGATGATTGGCCTGTTTTCCACCACCACCACCACCACCACCACCACCACCACCACCCACCCACCACCACCACCACCACCACCACCACCACCACCACCACCACCACCACAAGTTGGAGGGGGAGGGGGTCCTCCCCCTCCTCCTCCCTCCTCCTCCTCCCCCTCCTCCTCCTCCTCCTCCTCCTCCTCCTCCCCCTCCTCCTCCTCCTCCTCCTCCTCGACCTCCTGCTCCTCGTCCTCCACCTCCTTTCCCCTCCAACTTCTGGTGGTGGTGGTGGAAGACAGGCCCATCATTCGAGACGGGGGGGGGGGCGGCCGTCCGATGGCGTTAAGCTTCGTTCGGAGCTACGGTGCCTCCTCGTCATGATGCCGACCGCTGTGAGCTTCCGAGTCGGATCTGGCGGGATGTCTCACGCACCCTCCGGCACGGGAGCGCGGAAATGATCCTGAGCGCCCGGGGGCGGTAAGAGGCAGCTGGCTGCTTGGGCGGGTCCCACCAGCAGCAACCTCAACACGACAACCGCCAGCAGCTGTAGCACGACTACCACCTTTCCCACTGCCGCGATTCCCACCACGGCCACAAGCACGCCCACCACGATCACCACTTTCCATTGTGCACGATCAGTGTGAGGTGAGTGCCGAAATATACATTGTGCCCAGCAGTGCAGGCGCGTTGGGAGCAACGAGCTGCGGTGGGAAAGAGGGGAAGGGAGGAGGAGGGAGGAGGAGGGAGGAAAGATGAGGGAGGAGGGAGGAGGGACCGTTACTGGTGGCTTGGACCCTGAGGACTCGAGTGAGGACTGCCGTAAAGCATGTGAGGACCGTGAGGCCCGCGAAAGACAGAGGACGAGGGGGTTCTTCTCTTCTCACGGTCGTCGCGATCCTCGCATTTGCTTACCGCAGTCTTCACTCCAGTCCTCGCGGTCGTCATTGCCCTGCCGGGCTCTCGGACTCTGCAGGCCAGACCCCTTGCTCTCGAGAGCCCTGTAAGCACCACGAGAGAGCGACCGTGGCAGTTGGGCACCCCAAGGAGGACACACCAGGGACCGTCCCTGGCGGCTTCGCCGCTGTAAATATGTGAGGCCCGTGAGGACCGGAGTGAAGGCTGCCGCAAAACATGTGAGGACCGTGAGGACCAGGAAAATAGAAAAAGGATGGGGGGTCTTCTTTTCTCACAGTCGCCACGGTCCTCACATTTTTTACGGCAGTCTTCGCTCCGGTCCTCACGGTTGTCATTGTCCTGGCGGGTGGAGGGCACACCAGGGATGATAGATGGACAAAAAAGTGGTTTCTTCACTCCGCCCCCTCAAAAAGTAGGTGGACAAAAAAGTATACCCATATTCAAAGTTGGTCCCCGGCATTCGGCAGCACACGCGTGAGGGGATAATTATCCCAGCAAAGCAACCTAACAGCGATGTGTAGAAACATAGCTGGAAACATTGCCTGTGGTATTCATGTAAGAGTGCTGTTGTAGAATTCTGGTGTTCTCGCAGTCGCATTCGGATTCGCAGTGGCAGTCGCAGTGGCAACATCAGCGGCAGTCGCAGTGGCACTGCCAGTAGTTGCAGTAGCAATAGCTACACTAGCAGCAGCAACAGCAGCAGCAGCAGTAATAGTAACAGTAGTAGTAGCAGTAGAAGTAGTAGTGATGGTAGTAGTGGTAACAGTGAAGTAGTAGTTGTAGTGTGTGGAGTGAACGAGTAGGAGTGATGGGAGCAGTGGTAGTAGCAGTAGAAACACTGCTTTCGATAACGGTATCTCCAAATGAGATCTTTGTATAAATGCATTGAGGTCTAAACAAGACACTGCTATCAACGGATGTGATTCCAAACGAGACACTGCTATCAACGGGTTGAGCCTCAAACGACACACTTGCATCAATGAGTGTAGCTCCAAAACAGGCACTCCCATGAATGGATTTAGTGTGATGTCGTAATAGTAGTAGTAGTAGTAGTAGTAGTAGTAGTAGTAGTAGTAGTAGTAGTAGTAGTAGTAGTAGTAGTAGTAGTAGTAGTAGTAGTAGTAGTAGTAGTAGTAGTAGTAGTAGTAGTAGTAGTAGTAGTAGTAGTAGTAGTAGTAGTAGTAGTAGTAGTAGTAGTAGTAGTAGTAGTAGTAGTAGTATGGGCACGGACCCGTAAGACCTGAGTCTCCACCGGGGTGCTCGGCGAAACCATGATGATGATGATGTGATGATTGAGGAGGATGATGGGATGATGACCGCGCTACTTGGATTTGTTCTGTCCGTCTTTCTCGGCCTCCAACCAAATCTTGGAAGACATCTCGCAAACGGAAGAGGAGCGCACTGAGGAGCGGCGTGTGAAGCGGACAGTCGGCAAAACTTGCAGGCTGAGAAGCACCGCAGAAACTCGGAGGCTGAGAAGCACCGCGGCCGCGCAGTCCTACTACTGCCGGAACTAGGATTACAAGTACGCACGCCGAGAAACACCGTGGACACGCGGGCTCGGATACTTCACCTCTCCCGCTTGTATTGCAGGAAATCGCGCCAATCCGGCGGCTGGCAAGTACCGAGGAGGCGCGGGCTGAGAAGCACCGCGCGAGTACAGGCAGAGAAGCACTACGCGAGTGCATGCCACGGCATTGCGTGTCACATGAATGCAGGCTGAGAAGCGCCACATTTTGTTTGCCAGAGATCACTCCCAGGTCACCTGATCCCGCAACGACAGCCACGGCGTAGCTGCCACAGGGGCCGCAGAGAGCAACGGCTCGGTCACCCAATTGGCCTGTCGGTGAATCGCAATGCGCGTGTGGCTCCATGAGCCATTGTATCGCGCGTTGCGAGGCACCAGTGTGCTGTACGTGTTGTTGCCGTAGCAGAAGACGGCCTCTGGGGCCCAGTGCGGATTCCAGCGGACAACGTAGACCCTGTGGACGCCATTCCGGATGACGTCGCGCGCACCCTCGATCTGTGCCACCCATCGAAGCCAGTCAAACGCTGAGCCATCGGTGATGTCAACAGCACCTGGGGCAGTCTCGCCATGGTGGTAGCGCAACAGCGTTTGGAGAGCGGCGCTCGCTTCGTCGCGGCCCACAGTCTGGCGCGAGCGGGCGGCCTCTTGCAGGTGCTCCAGTGTGAAGAGCAGTGGGGCATCACCGCCAGGCACGGCAGGCTGAGCAGCGCCACCGCTGGGCATGGCAGGCTGAGCAGCGCTGCCACCAGGTACATCAGGCTGAGTAGCGGCAGGCCCAGGCACCGCAGGCTGAGCAACGGCGCGTGGTGGACCGACATAGGTGGGCTCATCGGGTTGGCCGTTCTTGTGGTAATGCAGGCGCATGGCTGAGCCGTCTGTGCGAACGAACTCAAAGAAGTGCCTGCCGTGGCCATCCGTGTTGGAGTAGTTTGGGTCGCGCTCTGTCTCGATGATGCGAAAGAGAACCCGGGCGATGCCCTGGCCGATTGCCCGGTCAGCGAGACCCGGAGCGGCAGACCGAAGCAGTTGCTTCCAGTCGTAGAACGGGTCGTTTGTTACGTCTCTGAACGACACGTCGTTGGCAGTGCACTGCGTGCGCAGCGCGCGCTGCCATTGGCAGGCGGTCTTGCCACCCATGCCTGGTGCACGGGGGACCTCTTCGAGGTGAGCTCGCTCAAAAACCACGTCGAAATCTGGCTCAGCAGGCGGTCCGGGCGGAAGCGGCAGAGACTCCTCCGGGACATCAGATGGTCCGAGAAACGTTTGGCCAACTTGTTTTCGGCCCGTTCTTGTTCGGACGTTCCTTTATTTCGCTTCGGTATCCGGCCGAACTGCTTCACGTGCTCGACGAGCG